GCGAACTCAGGGAGGCAGTGAAGGACAGGAAGGCCTGGCGCAATATGGTTCATGGGGTCACGAAGAGTCGGACACGACTTAACGACTAAACAACAACAAGTAGTCTCTCTTAGACTAAAAGTTCAACAATCACTTTAGTATGGAGGACCTAGTTTAACAGCTGGTACAAGATGCTACTGCTTTTCCAATCCTCTTTCCCATATTTCCAATCTTGCTGAAGGTAGGAAGAGATGGGCTAAAGTGCCATTTAGTTCACTGTGTAGAGAATCTCTAGAGCTGAAGAGAGTTGCTGATTCATATTTCAATATCCATCTCTCAGTTCCATTATAGTGGAGGCATCTAAATCAGATTCCACATCCACAGACAAGAAAGGCTGAAGGTTGGACAGTTTTATCGCAAACTCAGTTATTCAGAAGTGCTGTCTGTTCACATAACTGTCTATAGGGAATAAATAATGAAAGAATGAGATACCATCACTTTTTATGGATGACAGTGCCTCCATCCTTATCATTTTCCAAGTGATCAAATTGTCATTCCATGGACAGTAACATTTGCTAAATAGGAACTTAATAAGATTCATCATGCAGCTGATTCCATGGCTAAAGTTACAGTGTCTTCTGTTGAGATTCATCACTAGGTGTGACTTCATTCTAATGGGCTTGTGCTGGAGGCCAATACTTGTCAAGGACCTTCTTTTCAATTAAGATGGCTTATTTACTGTTAAAAATGACAATATCCTGGACAGATAAGGCCTATAACAGCCTTATTTCATCCCTTCTCTCATCAATCCATGTTCTCACTTCTACCTCTACCAGGGACTACCAGTTTTCCAATTGGTGCATTCTTTTCCAAATGGAGATAGAGGCTTTGAACAGACATTGATACCAAATAATCTCTGCAGCAGAGCCTTAGGCAATACACTTGAGACTCCAGAAGGTGTTTTTTATTGTCATGTTCACCCAGGCCTTCTACTGGCTTGCTTTCAAATTACATGGGCCTCCATATCAAATGACCTGTGGCTTTTGTCTTTTGTTTCCCAGATTTATCACCAAGTCACTTGATTCTTGAGCAATTCTGGAATTATGCCAGAAGTTCTGCCTTCCCTTACAAAAACGGGTGATTGACTATGTGCCAGTAAGGATACATTCCCACCTTGTACTCAAAATACAGTATGTCACCTTTCCAAAAAGAATGACAAGCTCATACTTATATTGGATTTTTTCCAACTTAACTTGTTTGTGAAGCTCTCCTGCTTTAGAGAGATCTCAGTTGCTAAGATGCAACAATTAATACTATCACAGAATTGACCTTCATCCCACTGCCATAGCTGCATTTAATGCAGACACTCACATGCAAGATCACTTCAGCAATGGCTGCCTGGTAGCTATAACTTCATTTATTTTGCACATCTTCAGATCCAGACATGGTATTTATATACTGTGTCTCTGGGTGATGTTACATAGTTCCATCTTTCCACCTCACTTTGCATCTAGGAGTCTACCCACTAGTGGCTAGTTACAAAAAAAATTGTGGAAAGCGTAGTTTTCATGCTTCCCTTCCCAATGCACATCCTCATCATTGATGCTTCTATGTCTGGATGGGTAGTACATCTACAGTCTGTCTGAAAGTATTATGGCATATCAATGACCTAGAACTATTGCTAATTTGGAAGGTGCTTCAAGACTTTGAGGGATTATTCTGAGGTTAAATTGTCCAGATTTTATCAGGGAATTTTACAGTTGTCTGGTATAAATCAAAAGATGATGTGAAATCCACCTCTTTTATATCTCACATTGCAGGCAAGTCGTTGTATTTATTTTATGTTTTATTAAGTTTATATTCCACATTTCTGTTTACACAATACTCAAAATGATTTACAATACTGAAAAATACAAAAATAATATAATAAAATCAATGCAAAATTTGATTCAATGTAAAAATCAAAAGTCAACTAACAAAAGCTTGGTAAAAGAGATGGAACGTTGCTGTTTTCCTAAATCCTAAGAGAGTGGGGCCTCCAATAGTCAGTTAAATAAGCCCTTATTTAATTTAAGCACACCAGCACTTTAATTTAAGGCATATGAGCCATGTACCTTGTAGCAGTTAGCAAATCTTGTGATAGCTGGAGGTAAAGCAGCACTTCCAAATGGCAAACCTGTACGTTCTGGAAGAATGCAGTCCCATCCAAAATAACTTACCTTGACCCCAAATTTAGCTTTGTCCTTTATCAACAGAAGCTTTGTTTTGTCTAGATTTAATTCCAACTTATCCTCCCTCATCCATTATCAAGTTTAAGCAACAGTCAAGGATGCTGATTGCTTCCTTGGTATTAAGTCTCCTATGATCCATATCTATTCAGGCAATCCATATGTCAGGGAACAAAAGTGTCCAAGCTGGCCAACTTACCTCTGCCCAGTTGACCAATCACTGAATGGAGACTATATCCCTCCATCATCATTAAATCTCACTGGGTCAACCTAAGGTCAGTTTCTTGGACAACTGTTAATGCCTAAGCTTCTAGAGCAGAGGAGCAATTAATCCCCCATTCTCTTTGTGATGCTTTTTGGAACTCTCTTATATCACCAATATCCCTCTGACCAAAGTCCTTGGAAATATCCACACAGATTCAGCCAACTGCCTCAACAGTCAGTGTTCACTCTTGTCACACCTGTCTTCCTTCTGCGCTTCAGTGGAAGGTATCTCCCTTCATGAAAGGCCTGGTTCACTTCTATCCATTAGTTTCTTCACCTGGCCCTGCCTGGAGTTTTTCCCTGAGTTCTGTCTACGTTGATGTCAAATAATTTCAAGATAATGGCTACTGCTCCTATTCATCTATCTTGGACATCATTTTCAGTAACTTTAACATAGGTTTTGTGAGCAGAAGAGTTATGTACCACATGTAGAGATCCATCTTTCTTTATTCTTAATAGAACTAACATTTCCTTTCTCCCAAAATTTGTCTCTGCATTCCTCTTGTGTCAGACATTATATTCCCTACCCTTTTTCCCTAGTCCTTTGACCCTGATAGAGAAATATCCAAAGAGTTCTTGCCTGTTGTATTAACCAAATGATGTCATTCCAAAGAGACTGGCATCTTATTTTTGGATTTCCATCCAAAGTACTTGGTCTCTGCCCCCAACAGTTCTCAAAATGGTAATGGCAACCAATCATCACTGTCACTTTGGAAAAATAATCCATCTGTTAGCCAGCTTTTGGCATAGATTCTCCTCCAAGTAGTAAAAGAAGCTCCTCACATATATGTGGATCACAAGAGACCACAATGATGAACTGTTTACTAATCTATAACTGAGGTTCTTTGCTCATCTGTGAATTCAGACAATCTATCCTCCCACTCCATTTCTTGATGGATTGCTTTACTCCTTTCTTGGCTCTGCTGTGTTCATCTTAGGAGGAGGTCCTGTGGGAGCCATACAAGGAAGGGGTGTCTTTTGCCAAGAATTCTGTAAGGTATATATCTTTCTGAATGGTCTCTGCACAAGTGCATAACCCATATATGTGAATTTTGCAGTTGATTACTCAACTTCAGTTACAGGTAAGTAAGGATAAAAAGGTGCAAGAATCTTCACTTTCCTTCTTTTTCAAAAGAAAGGATGTGTAAATCGTCTAGTTGTGGTTTTGAGTAAGCAACAGTTTCCACTGTATTTGATTATATAAAATGTGATTTGATCTCATTTTAATTTGTTGACAAAGCATGATATGAAAAATGCAGATTAATCTTGGATTGCACATTGAAACAAATCAATTGTTTTATTTAGGCATAACATAAAACTAGTTTGTTCAAAACCACAACTAGAGGCTTTAAGTTTTTCCTGCTACGTATGAAGAAGAAGCAGAGTAGCAGAAGTGACTGAGCACAACTGTAGCACCTTCATTGTTTATAACAATGTGTTTGTTGTGTGAGATCTAAGAAAATCTCCATAACTATTTCTTTATGATGCCTAGAACTGCTTACATTCAATTCATCAGGGGCTAAGAAAGCAGCACATAATAAAACAGATTTTTTTCCACAGCTACAAGCAATGTGGAACTTATTCCAATCAGTTGTCTATGTTCAGAACAGATTAGGCTAGCTACTCAAGAGCCCATCTAAAAGGATTTGAGCCATTTAAATAGCAAAGGCTCCACTGAACATGATGATACCATACCTATCTAAATGGGTTGAGGGGATTTAATCATATCAACTAAATGAAAGTTTTCTGAATGTATTGTGTTGTTCCTTCAGCAGGCTCTCTTGCTGGCAGCCCTCACCTTTCAGAACTGTCAATCAATTCTCAAGGTGGACCAGCCATAGCAAATGCAACTTTGTCTCCTAATTTGAGTCCTGACAATAGGCAAGTTTCTCCATTGGTCAGTCCCTTGCTGAATGATCAAACTGGTGTCCGGGCTGATGATGAAGAGGAGGTCAGGAGAAAGGTACTGATTTTGAATCTGCCTATTTGATATGCAAAGGACGTCTAGCAATTTTTCTTTGTTTTCAGCGGATGACTGTTTAAAAATTGCCATGCTGAAAAACCTGGCAAAGTATCCATCACCATCCAGGGCTACATAAGCAGTAGGGCCTGGAAGTGGTGGCAGAGCTGCCTCTATTCCTATGTATACGCACCACTTCTGAATCCAGAACTGCTTTGTAATATTTATATTGTTGAAATAAAGGTATTCCTATCTGGTGATATTGGGCATTTTTTCTTAATTCTCTGTAACTCTGCAGCATTGAACTCTTAATTCCCAAAGTTCCCTGACTGTAAGAGGCCTATCATTGTCATTTGGGTACAAATTAAAGCTATTTTATCTTTTTACTACTTTCAGAGGTTTCCAACTGACAAGGCATACTTCATTGCTAAAGAAGTTTCCACTACAGAACGAACTTACCTGAAAGATCTTGAAGTCATCACATCGGTATGTTTTTTTCTTTTTTTTTCCCCTTAAATTCAAAATTATGCAGCCCATCTTTCCCTAAATATCTGTCTTCCTGTCTTTTACTACAGTTCCCACTATCTCCAGCCAACGTAGCCTTTATCACGGGCATATACAATCACAAAATGTTCCTGATGAGATTAGAATTTCATCTAAGTAGCAGAAGACAAACATTTAATTGTGTTTTTTTTAAAATGCACAGATGGACCGTTTAATTTCTGATAGTTTTGTTATCTTTATTTTGTTGCAGTTTTAATGCTTTGTACTTTGGATCTTTAAACATTTTCTCTCATCATTTCAGTATATCTGCAGAACAGCATTCCTACCGTCATTATACTGTTCTATCAACTTCAGCTATATTTTGAAATGTGAGAAAATCAAAGAATGTCTGCTTAATAAATAGAAAATCTGATTGAGCAACAATATCCCAGTCTGTCTAGGATCCAAGAGTGGGGGTGGTTAGCCTTCTAGAATTTAGAATTCAATAGAGGCTGTACAGATAATACTTAATCTGGGATTCTATAGCCTTGTCAATTCTGTCTACAACATCTTGCTGTATGAAGTAAAAACACCCACATTAACTGATACGTTTGCTCAGCAGCTTTTTCCTAAAGTGAATTATTTTTTCTCAAGTACTTCACATCAATTGTGAACCTTTATAGGTTCCTTGATACTTGAACTCAAGGCTCTGCATTATTAATTCAGGTTATGCTCAGATGTACCAGGAAGAGCACTGGCTGCGGATATTCTAAATAACATCTTTGGAAATCTTTTCTTTTCCAAATACAAGATGTAACTATCCTACTAAATAGTTTCCATACATACACAGAAGACTAGGGATAGTTCTGATTATTCTTGTGTTGGTTCTGGATAACTTGGGTGTTTTAGAATGACTATGCAACCCAAGAAATTTAATGTTTTATGCACTAGCGTACACAAAGAAATTTATCAAAAATAGAAGAATTGCTGGTGAACATGAAAAAATAATGAGAAACTAGGTATTTCCCACTTATTTTGAGTCAGCAGAACTTCAGCTTGTGGTATAATAAATGTGGACGCCTGTTTCTTAAACAAAAGAAGCTGTACCATTGGCAATAAGTTCAAAAAAACAGAAGTTCAACTTCATAATATTAATGTATTGGTAAGGAGAGACAATAAGCAAGTATAGTCTGAATCCCCTATATACATATCCTAACTAGGAACCTTGGTCGCAAGAGCTTCCCTGATTACTTTGCTTGGTCTTTCTAGTGGTTCCAGAGCACAGTAAGTAAAGATGACTGCATGCCAGAAGCACTGAAGAATCTCATCTTTTCAAACTTTGAACCTTTGCACAAATTTCACACCAACTTTCTAAAGGAGATAGAACAGCGCATTGCTCTATGGTGAGAATTCCAGCCGTTATTTTAATAAAATGACATTTTGGTGCTAAATATTTTACATTCTGTTCTACTATCTTCAATCCAGAATGGATGTACTGTTGGTTCCAACTTGATGCTTGATGAAAGTCTGAAGGCTATGAATTTTCTTAAAAACTGCAGAAGATGCATGTATGGCTGATAGTTGTTCTTAGATATTTATTTTTAACCAATTAAGTTAGAAGAATTTCAGTCTCAGTAGACCTTGTGCAAAGGCATTGTTATTTAGACTTTCAAGATGGCTTTGCTTGACATTTGCAATATGGAAATATAAAATTTTAAAGTATCTTAGTGAATGAGTTCCCTTCTCTCCAGCACACATCACAGATTTATTTTCAAGTTCTGGAATAATGTAGTCCAACAAGTTTGATTTCATCCCAACAGAAGTTTGCATTTAATTCAGTTTTATCCACCTCCCACTTCCCTTCCCCACAAAGCTAAATAAGTATAGAAGGGAGTGCACCGTGTCATACTTCAACTGAAACAAAATGCGCAGGTACTTTTCTGTACTAAAAACTTTCTGCAAAGAAATAGAAAATTGGTAAAGTTAGCAACAGGACTAGTGTATAAACTTTCCTTCTATGTGCTTTATATTTGCAGGGACTTTCTAATATGGGGGTTCATTCACTGCACTGTGAAACAGACCTATTTTGCTACTTCCTTTTGCTAAATATGTCAATACAGATTCAGTCAATCCACCACCACCATAAGTAGAGAAGGTATTGGGGCTCCAAATTCTTTAAAATAAAGGAAGAATATAAGAGAATACAGATAATTGAAATATGTGAGTGGAGGTCCCATGAGTGGGGTCAGTGTGAGCCAGCCATAGAAGGATCTTGACCATTTTCCCTCTACCGCATACATTGTAGCAAAGACCAACTGATCTGCAAATATATAGCCAATGTGGATCCCCTCTAATTTCAGTATTTCTTTCCTTGGCAAATCCCATCTTAATGTCTTCAAAATGATAGCTGCCAAGAGTAAAATAATGAGATGTAGTTATCTGAATAGTAGAAGCATTTTCTTAAATAATTATTCCAGTGAAGTTAGTGAATCTGGGATATAAGCTGTTAGGTTTTAATGGATAATGAAATGGCATCACAGTTAAGGCCAAGGGCTTTAATTAGAATGATTAATAAGTTAAGCAGGTTGCACAATGTAGGGAGCAGACGCTTTCTAAATTATTTTCAGAGGTAGTTTTGTTGAATCTGTATTCTCATATTATTTTCTGAAGAGTATTTGATTTGATTGCATTGCTGATAAACGAAAGAATTGTTACAGGTTTTCAAATTAGCCTTTAAAAACGTATTTTGATTGCTTGTTATTATATTGATTAAAAGCAAGATGGCAGTAATAAAATACTACTAGTCTAGCGAGACATTTCATTTGTAATAAATATTTATCAAAGGAGACCTTTAATCAATTAGCTATGCCCATTTAGAATTCCATTACCTTTCATAGGAATCTCTTATTCTTTCATCTCTAGTGCTGCCATGGGCTAGGAGAGGCTGTTTACCGTCATTCCTAATTCAGAGCACTGTTTAAAGCACGCGGCTCATCATTTCTGAAGCATTTATTTTAGCACAACTCACACTTAAGCAAAATAAGCAAAATTCTCTTCTTCATCTTGGAAACTAGCAAGACCCTGTTCAGATTACATCTGTTTCTCTCTCTGGATCTTGTAATAAATTAAAATGCCCTTAAATCATGCAGATGTGTTCTCTGGTTCCATTTCTGCAAGGAGCTGAGTAACCCAAATGGCTTTTTGATAGTACAAGATTAAATCCACTCCCAGTTTGATGATTTAAGTCATTGTGGTGGGGAAAAGCAGGAAACAAATCCTGAATGTAGAACCCAGGAACATGTGAAGGGGAATTGTCACCTGAATGACACTAAAGAAATGTATTTGTGAGGTAGCTATATCTTCTCTAAGGATCATTCACTGCACTGTGGCAAGATCCATGCTTCTCATTTCCCATTTGAAGATGCATCTTTCTTTTTCCCTATCTTCTGATCTCTGGACTTCACAGTTTTTCTTGCCAATTTTATTTTTCTTATCTGAATTTCCAGCGTAATGTAAACTCTCCTAAGAGTGAACAAAGCCACCCATTTTGGCAGCTACTTTTTAATATTAAAGCCAATTTCAGGATATTAGGGGAAAACACTTTCAGTGTCATCTGAGCCAGACCTTTACAAATTAGATCGCTCTTTTCAAAGACTTTGCTTTACAATTACTCAAAATCAATGGTGAATATATTTTGTCCATCTCTACCAAACTGTTATTCCACATATTCTTGAAGGATTTCTAAGGAAAATAATTTTCCAAATTTTGGGGGGACAGGAAGTTCTATTAGCCAAAAAAAAAGTAACACAGAGAAGAGTTACCCAATTCTCTACATGTCTTCTTCTTTATCCAGCCCCCAGATAGGAATACCTACACATTACTCTCTAAGTCCCCAGGCATTTCTTCCCAAGAAAAGCATCAGTGTTTTACTAAATCATATTTCATAGTTGGAATACAATGTTAGGAAAAGATACATAAATGTTGTTTATTGCATCAGTTGAATTGAAGTATAAAGCAAATGACTGAAGGCATTGTTTTCCAGGGTGTGAGCTTTCATAATCCACTATGGATTTTCTGAGTATTAAGAAATTAGTTGCTGATTGATGAGAGTTTGTGATTTAGATTAACTGTCACCATGTGCTTTATACTGCAGTGATATAAAGGAGGGCAGCATTGCTAGGGGGAAATGTAAGCCTTCAAGACTGGGCAAAGTTAATCCTACCAAGAACTGGTTGGATTTTGCTGCAAAAATGAAGAACGCAATTTGTTTTTTAGGAAATCCCAGATATCATGACTTGATCACTTCCACAACTGTTGGAGGGTTATTTTAATTGTTGTACATTAAATAGCTATCTGGAAAGAATACATTGCATTACAAATTCTCAAGTACACTGTGGCAACATGAGTAGATAAAAACTGTGAAGTTTTGGTTGTTTGTTTGTTTGTTTAGTATATTTTTGACAGGTATGTTCTGTTTTCTTGTCAGTCATCAGCCTTGGTGAAGGAGCCCAGTGAAAACCAATCCTGTGTTTAAGGTTTCTATCATAGTTGTAGTAGTAACTGTAAAACAGTGGTGTTCAACTATTAGGGAATCTTCCTGTGAGTTTATTACAGGTTCCACAATTAAAGAATCAGGAGTATTAGCCATGCTGCTTTTAAGTATGCTTATCTGTCATTTTCAATCTTCTGCTCTGCAAGGGAATATTGGGTGATCTCTAAGGTTGGGACTCCATGATAACCATGGACAGGCAGTAAATAACCTAATGCTACCAAATTTGGACTGCAGAAATCTGTCCAACCACCAGATGGCAGAAAAGAGATGGAGAAAGTGAACTATTTGCTACCCCCCTAAGATAATCCATATTTTGTAGCTCACATCTGGTAGCTTTAGTATATCCTAGAACCCAGTCATTTGTAAGATTTGGGAATTACGCTGCAGATGATCTTGGAATTGCTAGATGAACCAGCATGGAAAGATTCTGAAGACAAAAGGTTAGAAAACAATATCTTTAGCAGTCATGTTTTTAGAAATAGATAAAAACCCAGAACCATGGAAGCACTTCATAGCTCTTTAAAGCTCTTGTTTTAGGGAATCCCCTGTGTACAGGAATTCAATTGAGGATCTTAGAAAGCTTTTTAAAAAGAGAGGTAGAATTAACCCAGGATGGCTAATAGTATTCATAAGCCTCTTTTACACCATGATGAGCAGCAATAAGAAGATTTAGTGACTTCTCAGAATGAACTAAATATTTAAGAAACCTTTCAACTATGTTTGATGTTTCTGTTTTTCTTCTCCTGGCTTGTGAGAAACATATGGTCTCTACAGAATTGCATTCTAATCCTCCAAGCTTAAATGCATACCTGGGAGTAGGAGGGAGAATCTGTGTTGTTGGACCCAGTGGAGAAAAATAGCATAAGGCATTGCTGAAAGCAAAGACCAGCTTTATTTGCTTTGCAAGGCTGTGCATTGCAGTGAAGGTCACTGCTTTCTCTAGCCAGCACATCCAACATTTCTGGAGGGTGTAGAGTTGGAGAAAACTGCATTAGAACATAAAATTCATAAAGGAAAAAAAAAGTCAAGCTAAATCTTAATATATTGGATTTCCTCAAGTGAAATATAAAGCTCAGGTTGTAGATTAGAGAAACAGCCCTTTAATTTCTTATTAACTTTTGTTGTAATTTAAATAGCCCAAGATGGGCCTATAATTGCTATGCATTTGGGATTAATACATTTCACTGGACTAAGAAATGGAAAGGAATAGGCAACATATCATTAATCTTACATTCTGATGGGGTTCCTTGAGTCTAGTTCCTTAGCACCACAAAAAAAGCGTCATTTACTTGGAAAGGATAATGAAACAAGGTCAGATGTGTGGCATCCATCGTAATAAAAAATAGTTGAATAAGAAACAAGGATATGAATTTTACTATTTAAAATAGTCCTTTTAATTATTTGTTTAAGACAATAAACCCAGGGTTGGTTACAGTATTTTTCTTTTAAATAATCTCAGGTAAAATGTGTGGTGCTTCTTGTTTTAATGTATGCTGTTCCTCATCAAAGACTCCATTCATGCATTCAAAATCTAGAACATGATTCTAGATGGTCATTAACCCCCACCTCCCAGCTAAAGTCACCCATGATGCTGGCTCTGGGTGGGCAGTGGCATGTTCAGCCTGAGCCAAGATTATTTGAGTGACACAAGGGAAACAAGATTTGGCATTCCAGTTTTTAAACATGTGAACAGGGCTGCTGTTTCTCTTTATTTCCTGTTCAAGGGATCTTTACATTAATACTTCAGTTTGTAATCTTATTTACTATATTTGTTTCAGATTATCCTCTTCTCCGTGCTAACATTACAATTGTTTTTTTGCTAAGATCATATATGTTTTATAGTTTGAGAGC